TTCTTGAAACTTCCTATCAAAGAATCTTGCCAATTCTATGGCATATCGGGTATCAATAAAATTCGCTCCATTTGCTCCAGTATCAGCAAGAGAATTTGTAGAAGTAGCAATTCCATTGTAGGCTAATTTGATTGGCACATTAAAGCTTTTCCCCCCAATCAAGTCCTTCATCTCAAACCTCTCACAGACTATTGAACTACCTGAGGTGGAGTCTTCTCTCAGGCTCACTCTTTTCCCGAATCTGCTGAAGGCTCAGGGGCATCATTCCCTGTGAGCTCAGCAATCACCTGCTGGGACTTCTGCTTTGCAGGGCAGTTCCTGGCAATGTGGCCTTTTTCCTTACAGTAGTAGCACTGAATATCCGGACGAGAGCTCAAGGCCTCCTTCACAGTAGGGGATTTTGTTGTAGAGATGCTGGGGGGTGTTTGACTGTTGGCGGTCCGCAGGGTGTTCTGCTTGAAGGTATTAGGCCCATTTCCCCGCGAGCTCTTTGATTTCTGGGTGGCATTGATTGTCTGGAGGGTGTGAGCTGCCTGCGCACAGATTTTCTGAAACTCAGCATATGTATCAGTGGTCGCATTGGCTACTGCTACCATCTTCTGGAGGTCAAAGGACAGCTTGTCATTGAAGTCTGTCTTGTAGTCCCCCCTGGCAATCTTGGCCTCACCTGCCAGGTGTAAGAATTTTGTGACAAATTCATGATAATTGTCCCCATTGCGCATAATCAGCTTGCGATAATCACTCTTGGCATTTTGCAGCTTGTTAGCATCCTCATATATTGACTTGAGGTGCTCAAATATCTCTTCTGCAGTCTGATATCGCTCGGGGTGGTCCTCTTCCATACAGGGCGCAATGTGACGTGCCGCGTCCCCATCAGTCCGGTTTTCGATGTATGCAATCCTCATGCGTTCAGTAGGGTAGTGGTCAGCGTTCTCCCGGAGCTTGTTCTTCATCCGGGAGAGCCAGTGTTCAAATTTTGGCTCCTTGCCGTCAGTGAGGTGTTTTGGGTCATCAATCTTGACAGACCTCCGGGTAGTCTCAGAGGGGGTGACACCTCGACTTGCTGCTTGGTTGCTGACTGTCATGCGGACCAGGGTGTGGCTAAGTTCATCGCGTTCAGCAATTAGCTCATCAATCTGGCTTTGCTTGACAGCGGCCTGGTCAGTGGCGTTGTTCCGTTCCATCCTCAGACGTGTGATTGTATCCCTTAGTGTTTTTTCATCGTCAAAGATGCCATCGAAGATCGCCGCCAACTCATTATAAACACGGTCGCTGTCCGAGTGGATTGCCTCTCTGAATTCCTCAATTGAGACGCGTGGTTGGTCAGTTGGTCTTGTTAGGAGGTATCGCCAGTCCTTTCGGCCCCTTCCAGGGGGTTGGGAGCCTGTGGTGGCCATCTGATGTTGGATTGAGCCGTTGTCTTCAACAGTGCTGTTGTCTTAGCAGTTGATCTGACGCGTTGTCAGGCTCTGAACTAGCAGGTTCTAATTCAACTGAGGCACTCAAGTTTTCTGCTGAAACCTGAGTGAGAAGGTAGAAGGAAAGCTTAGTATTGTGTTAGGGAGCGAATGCGAGCTGCATAAGAAGAAAGACTCTCTGCGTTGCTAACTGCTATATAACGAAATACTAAGCTTGATGGGATGAAAGGGGGTGCTGGGGGCCTGCGTGGATTATAACCACCTGCATGGTCGTGTGGTCACGTGATATGGATTAGGCCTAATCGGGCGCCGAGCTTAATCCGACGTCGAGTCTAACCGGGCACCGGCCTTCGGTCGGGCTCGGTCGGACGCTGAGCCTAACATTTATAAGAGAAAAAATTAAATAATATAAAATATAAATATTTCAAGATAATTTAGAATGTTATAAATTAATATTTTAATTTTTTTTACTATATTTAATTAAATAACAAATTAAATATTTAAGCATAGATATTTACAATTAGATATAAATAAAGTTTACAATAGTAAAAAATTTTTTATTAAAAATAAAATGATAAAAATACTTATATTTTTAATAAAAATATAATAATATAAATTATAATTATCAATATATATAAATAACTTTTAAATTAATAATAAATAATTTAAAATCTTTTAATATTATTAGATTTTATCATTTTAGTTGATAAAAAATTTTTGATAAAAGTAAATATAGTATTGATATTTATTTAATATATATTAAAGTTGTAATAAAAGAAAAAATATTTAATATTTTAATATAAAGTTACATATCTTATTCTGAATATTTATAGAAGACTTAATAGTATTTTGATCATTAAATAAAATTTTATAGTTATTATTTAATAATTAATTATAATTAATATATTTTTATTTTAATCACTTTTTAAATAGCATTTTTGACAATTTTATAATAAAATCACTTCTTACAATGATATAAATAAAATATATAAATTTTATAAAAAAATCAATTAATATATCTATTGTTATATTATTATTAAGTAAAAATTATTTTAATATTCTCTTTATATTCTCAATTTTTATAAGAAGTTTAGAGTTAGAAGCTTTTAAAAATTTAAATAATTTTGCTAAAGTATAAATTATAAGTTTCCAAGTATTTAATAAGAAATTTGAAATATTTATTTAGATAAAAATATAATTAATAATTAACTATTATTGTATTATTATTTTATCATATAATTATATATATTATACTTATAGTTTTGATAAGTTTCTTTTTATATTCATATTAAATATGTTAAAGTGAGTTAATAAATAAAAATTTTAAAAATTTAAAATAGATTTCACATATCATATTATAAAGAGCAAAACTCTAAAAGATGAAATAACTATGTAAATGATATAAAAATTGAATAAGAGAGAGTATAATTTTACAATCTAATATGTATCTAATGCAGATTAAAAGAAAGTTTTAATTGCTTTTATATTGTATCAATATAGCATATGTTTCAGTTCACTTGTATTTTCTATAGTCTTTATTTTACCATTTATACAATATTATAAGACTTGAAAAAATCAGCTTCTTTTTACATCATGAGCAGAATAAATATGCAAATTGCAATATACTAAACTTTAGCACATGAATATTTTGATTACAGTGATATTAATCGAATTTAATTTGTAATCAAGTGTAGATATTTCAGATTATAACTTAAGAAGTAGTTGAATAATTTCAACTTGATGTGGTTGATTTCAAAGTGAATTATGTTATAATTCAATTTCTATCTAATTAAGTTAAGATTCAAAAAAGATGCAAGTCAATAGATTTATCATGTTAAATAATAGAAGAGGAATCCATTGGTCAATTCTAATTCTTGTTGGTATTACACGTTCATTGAACGGGCATTAATTCTGGCCAAACCTACGGACGAGGGGGATAGATCTGTCCATCTCCTTGACAGCTATTTGGGGGGGGGGGGGGGGTGGCTGTGGAAGACCCCTCCTGCCAGATCCGGCCTAGCTTCATCACGTGATCCATGGAATGATCTGGCCCCGACCAATGCAGTCCGCAAAAAAAATAAAATTTCCCCCCCCAAACCAGGGCAGCTCAAGTTTTGGGGGCCGGAGGCGAAATTAGTTAAAGATATAGGAATGTAGAGGTTTTGAAGGGGGAGAAAAAAAAACGGGCACCA